TTATAGTTTGTTTTCCTTAACACCCGTTGGGGAATCCAGGCTTAACAACTATTACATTCTACTTCCCTAATGCTGGAGAAGGTGAGAAAGCGGTTTAAAGCTGCAAAAGCAGTTCATTAAAAATCAAATTGAAACGAGCATTTAGAGGAATAAAGTGTTCTCTGAATTTTAGGAATCCAAGGCGATAGTTACTTTGGTAATAGAGAAACTAAATAGGTCTGATTTGTTTATTTCATTTGTATAACATTGAATTTGTGATGTGCGGTGTACAACAAAAAATTAAAACAAGTAACACAGTTACAACATAAGAAATTTAAGCAAATTGCAGTAATTGTTGCAATGAGCCAGTGACACCATCCAGGTATTCAGAAATATCATCTTATGAAGGTCCAATATCTCCTGTTTTTATGGCTTTTTGAAAGGAGACCAGAATGGGAGACTAATTTAACCTTTGGAAGAAGGCTGACCATCAAATGGTGGCCACTACAGAGAATAAACATCTGGAAAATCCCAACAGATCCTAATTTAGCTCTTGCCTATCAGGATAACCAGAGAGCTTACTTTCTGGTACAGTTCTACCTGAGGACTTGGTTCTACCTGAAATAACAGTCCAGAAAGTATTTAGGAAGCAAGCTATGCAGAACTTTCAAGATTAAAACCACTATTTTGAATTGTACCCTGGAACTTGTTGAAAGCCAATGCAGCACCTGTAACAAAAGGTTCCCATGGCTGTAGGAAGTCCATGTGGCAGCATGCTACCAACTTCATTCTGTACCATTTGCAGCTTCTGGCCAATCTTTAAAAATAATACGGTGTAGACCAAATTTCAGTAATCTGTGAAGGGCATAAGCTTCCTGTTCCAGTGTCATCTGGTCTTGTGCCCATAGTTTTCCCTAGTCTTTTGCTTGTCAAATGCATTAGTCTTACTCTCCTGATCTACTAGCCCAGGGGTTGCCAACCTTTTGGACCTCAGGGACCACCAAACTCAGAATTTTAAATCCCAGGGACCACTAACTGGTTCTGTGGGTGTGGCCTAATTTGTGGGTGTGGCTTGGTGGTCATGTGACTGGCTGGGCATGGCTTGTGTGTAAATATTATAAATATTTATATAAATATTGAATTTTTTATAAAAAAAGAACAACTTTTACCCAAAATCAGGCAGGTAGGCAGATTGAATCACGGATTCATTCAGAGAATCACGGATTCATTCAGAGATCTATCTATCTGCCATTAGCTAGCTCAGTCTGTCACATAAAATTTGCTTGCAAGCAAACTCACAAAATAACTTACAACACACCATGTATGTAAATATTGATTTTTTTTATAAAAAAAAGAGCAACTTTTACCCAAAGTCAGGCAAAGCAGGCAGGCAGATTGAGTTGCTCACAGAATCATTCAGTGATCTATCTATCTGCCATCGGCTCGCTCAGTCTCTCAAATTTGCTTGCTGTGAGTCTGCACTGAATAATAGAAGCTTCAGTCCTAAGGGAGGTTCGGCTGTGCTTAAAAGCAGAGCTGAAGATCTAAAGATTAGCTAGAAAGCAAGAAATCCAACCATTTCCTGCTTCCTAGCTAATCTAAAATCTCCCGGCACAGCAGAACAGCTGATGGTCGGAAAAAGGAAAAATAGCAATTTTTCAGGCAATTTTTTCTGTGTAAGGAGTGAGTGGGCAGGGTGGGTTCCTGCGGGCTATGTGGGCGGCACAGCCTTGTGTTTCTGCGCAGCCTGGATTAATTGTTTTGGAGAGGTGTCGGGGTGAGATTTCTCTGCGGCCCACCAAAATTTGGACCGCAGCCCACCGGTTGGCAACCGCTGTACTAGCCAACACAGTCAAAACACAAAAGGTGTATGTGATTGAGAAAATTTGAAAAATGTTTGCATTAATACAGAATAAAGTTCTGTGTATTTTTTTGAACAAATCCCTCATGTAGGATTGTTTGAGATTTACTTTATCTCCTTTTGGCTCCCTCTCTCCAGAACGGTGGCAGCATGTCAGCATTGGTGACACGAGTACCATTATCTGAGGAGGAGATAAATGCCACTTACTCATCTGCTCCCACAGCAGTGACAACAGCTGACATCCTGACAACACCTTTGTTTTTAAATGCTACCAACAGTACTGTGCCACACAAATGCTTGGTGCTGTTATATGAGGACATAGGCACATCCAGGTGAGATGCTATTATTGATGGTTTCTGTTCTTCTGAACAAGGTTATCTGTATCTCCAGAAGTGACACAGCACTATTTGAAAAAGGTATCTTTGTCTTGTTTTTAGAGTTCGTTACTGGGACCTTCTGCTATTGGTTCCCAATGTACTTTTCTTTGCATTTCTCCTCTGGAAACTGCCTTCTGCCAGGGCCAAAATCCATGCCACTTCCAGTCCCATTTTTACCACATTCTACATACTGGTAAGTACAAACTTTATTTTCAAAGAACCTGGCGGATCTGGATATATATTCACTTGGCTCCTTTCAGATTAGTGAAAGGGCTCAGGAGTTTCGGTGATGTGTTTGGCAACTGTCAGCATCAATTCTCTCTCTACATAGGGTATTTTTTTTTATTTGGGAATGAGACATGCTTGTGACTTAATCTGATCGTTGACCTGCTTGATCTTTCTTTCTTTCTTTTTTTTAATAAGGTTTTATTTGGGTTTTCACACATACAAAATACAAGTAAAACATATTTTTTGAAAATAGCATGGTCCCGGGTTGAACTTCTTTATACAGACACAAAACTCAATTTCATGCTCCTTTTTGTATTCTGTTCCATATCTTATACTATTTTACATTTTCTGTATAGTTTTTCCCCTCTTTTAATTTTCTCAATTTTATTTTGGTTATCTCATCTCAATTCAAATCATTATATTTATACTTTTGTCTGTTCTGTTTCAATTTCATATTATCTTTTCTCATTAAACAAATTTTCTCCTGTAGTTACTAATTGGAGTATGACACCTTTATATCTTTTAATTACATCCATTCAACTCTTATTTAAACTTCAATATATATCTTAAGTTTATGACCTTCAATATAATACATAATACATAACTTCCAATCGAATTCTGCATGGTACATTCTTATAATACACACTATATTCTTTAAAAAAAAAAAGAAAGATTGTAAATATATGTAATTATAAACCCCCATTCCATTCCAGTTCAGTTCTATCATTAATAATCATTAAAATCTTAACATCTTTAACACTTCTTTTCAATTAAATATCATACTTCCTTAAAAACACATATAATCTCCATAATTAATTTTTCCCTTCTCTTCACATATGTGAAGAGTAAATCATTAAATATACCTTTTGTTACATTTATTTATTGACAAGCATTCCACTGAATTACGATAGCTATTTTATCAGACATTTTAATCATACATTATTTCATATTTTCTAAAATTATTTCTGTTCTAATATAACCATACTATCTTATGTACCTTTGCAGAATCCCTTTTTCCATTAAGTTTTCACCCATTGTCTCTAAATAGGCCCTGTTTCTCTATATTTTGCTTCTGTCCTTTATAACTTCTTTTCCTTTCTTTCTTCCCTCTCATCTTCTCCCTCCCCTTTTTACTCCCTTGTCTCTCTAGTTCTAATTCTCTCTTCTGCATTTCCCTTTTCTGTTGCTTTCTGATTTTATACTTATTTTTCACTCTATTTTTTTTGTTTTTCCCAATCTTAAACTTTCCATTTTCTTTCCCACCTTTCCTTTTCCCCCCGCATCTAAGATTACTTGTTCATTAAAGATGGCTTCTTCTTTGTCGCAATCTTCTTGTTCTGCAGGCATTTCTTGTTGTTTCTCATAATTCCAAATCTCCATTTCTAAAAACTGAAATACGAAGCCAAAAGAACCTCTCCCTTCTTGTGCATCTTCTTTGTACTTTTTAAGTTCCATTTTCAGTTCTTCTAAAAGTGGAGCCATTTTAAACAGTTTTAAACAACCACCCAATTGATTTTAATCATTCAAAACAATAACCCAGAATTCAGAAATCATCAAGTAATCCAGATAGTCCAGAGTTATATCTTCTTATTTCTTTTTCGACTTTCTTTTCCTGGGGTTTTTGTTGCAATATTTCAGTTAGAATGTATCTTTTGGAAGTCTTGTTGAGATTTTGCTGTAAGTTCTTTTTTAATTCCAGGCAGTCTCCTCCCTTCCAGATCCTGCCCTTTTATTCTTTTTCTCTCCTTTCCTGTTTTCAAAAGCTTTTAATTATCCAGAAATCTTTATTATCCCTTTGACTTTTTATTTTCAGCATTAAATGCCTATTGATGTCAAAGTGGATTTTTTTCCAATTTCTTGCTTAAGTCTCTTAGCTGTCAGTATAGGAAAAGGAGAAAACCAAATCTTTTCCCTTTTCTCTCTCCTTCGCAGCTTAGAAATCTTCTTAGGGAACAATGTTATTGTTTTTTAACAGTTTCAATTCCAGGGTACCTTATTTGTTGCTTCTGCTGTTTGACCCGGTCAACCAAAACTTTCTCTTCTTATCTTCCTCCTGCACATTCTTTTCTGGTCAAGTTCTTCTTTGTGGTGGCCATTTCTGACCACCATTGCAACTGCCTTCAGGAAAGGGAGTAATGGCCAGCTGGGGAGGAGAGATGCGGCTCTCCTCAACCCTGCTGGCAGTCTCCCCCCTCTTCACCACTTCTACAGGGTGGCTTAGCCCCGAAACCAGCCGGCTCGGGGCGTTCCAGCAGCGAGCACGGATCGAAGCCTCGCAGAGACGAGGCTTCGGTCTGTCGCTGAAGAAGTTCAAACCGGAAGTTTCCTGACCTGCTTGATCTTTCTTATGCTGTTTCTGTGTCTGTTGTGTTTCTGGAAAATCTGACCTTTTAGAGAATAGCAGCTAATCTCCAAAAGGATAGATGGCCCTATTGCCGCTTCTTTAGTTGTTAACTTGATTTGACACAGGCAGCCACATTTTGCAATTGAACTTAGTAACACATTATCTGACTTATGCTCTGCCTGGCATTTGTTAGCTAATGTAATGCTCATTTATTTTTATTTTTATTTATTTATTTATTTATTTGATTTGCCAATTGTTTACAAGATAATAAGTATAAATGTATACATAGTTGTGAATACATGAAATGGGTACATATAAGAAAAATAAAAGAATAAGAGAAACAATAGGACAGGGACGGTAGGCACGTTGGTGCGCTTATGCACGCCCCCTACAGACCTCTTAGGAAAGGGGTGAGGTCAATAGTAGACATTGTTCAAGAAGACAAAAGAGAACAGCCTCTTTTTCTCTTTGACTTACTTTCCCCTTGCAAAATTGTTCTCCCTTTAAATAACTCAAGATGTTGAAATATTTTTAAAAATATAAGTAAGTTTGACACCTCTATTTTTCTTTTTTGTCTCCTAATTTTCCTCCTTCCATCCTTCTGCTGGCCAATCTGTGGCAATGCCATCCAGTGTGGCTGGTAGAGAAGGAAGTGGGGAACTACAGATCAAGAACATGTGGAATACCTCACATTGCCTTTTCCTGACCTAGACCAAGAGACACGTTAAAACCCTGAATATCCGTGTCATGGTTGCTTACCACTAACTGAATGAGTTGAAGGCTGTAAGAGGGAATTGATAAGTGCATGTTTTTCCTTTAGCTGTACAATTTCTACATTACCACATTTATAAGGTTATTTCTTGCTAACAGTTGCAAGGAGATTAGAGAGGAATTTAAATGAGAAGAAAAACATTTCCTTACCTTTGCCTTAAAGCTTCTAATTATTATTCTAAGAGAAAACTCAGTTAACTTTGAAAGATTCTACTTTTTGTGTGATATATATGTTTGTGAATCTGTTTCTGCCTCTGTGTGTGTGTGTGTGTGTGTGTGTGTGTTGGGATAACGGTTCAATTATTTTGTGTTACTCTCTTTTCCCATTCCCAAGCAATTTTGTGTTTCTGTTTTGTAGTTTCTTTTCCACTTTTGCATAAGAATTTCTTCTTCAGAAAATAAGGAAAGAAGGGATTTGCTTGCCTCTTACAGAAAGAAGATGATATTGTATTATCCTTAGGCACAATGGGGAATAAGGCATGATTCTGCCAGTGGATAGGTGAAACAATCTATAGCAGCAACAGCCATAGAAGGCTGGTATTAACAGGAGAGAAGCTATTTTACTCAGACGAGTCATGCTTTTTTTACCTGCATGGCTGTTATTATGCCTGCTAAGTATGACACATGTATGGCACATGTTCCAACATAGAACACATAATGTTCTTGATGGTATAAAATTGAAATAGAAGAGCAAGGAATAAATTAGGAGCTGTATTCCTGGAAACACTACAGGGTTTTCTTAGTGTTCTTTGTGGAAAAGTTAGAAGGAACTCCAAAATCACAATGTCTGAACACGGTGTGAAATTCTGTTCACCTAGGAAAACTGGACAAAATTGCATATATGTAGGCTTTTGGGGAGAGGCAATAGCTTAAGAGGCTTCTTCTAATCCCAGAGAAATGGCTTCTCATCCTGTAGAATCAATTTAAGAGAAATAATGGAACTCATTAAGGGAGATCTCAGATAATACCTAACCAAGCAACAGTCATTTCCCCCTGCAGTTTTTTCACCTACAAGTCTGTCACACTTTCAGTTTTCTTATGCTTATCGACCTTGTACTTACTTCTCTGCTAGATATTTGGGAATTTCTGCTGGGAATTTTTTTTTGGGGGGGGGGGGTGTCTTTCTGAGTATGTTCCTCTTTTTAAAATGGATTTATGAAACAGATTAAGTCTGTCTCCTTGCTTCCCAAATACTCTCTCTGATGGCTTTTTGTAGAACATTTTTGCCATTTACTTGTTTACTCAGCAAAATGTGTGCTGCTGTTTTTCGTGCTTACAGTATTTGTTAACAGAGTGTAGTGGAAAATTTGGAAGTGCAACTCTAGTAAAAAGCCACAGGTCAGAATAAGGAAAGGTGTTTGGAATCGTATCTTATTAGAAACTTAGCTGCAGAACTGAAATGACTTTACGGAACAAAGACTAAAGAGGCTCAGAAGGAAACAAAATAGGTAACTTACAGCAGAGTGATAAGGGGTTGAAAAACAGGAAATTGAGGCAAACAAAAGGAGACTTTAGAACAGTGGTTCCCAAAGTGGGTGGTACCGCCCCCCTGGGGGGCAGTGGGATGCCTTAGGGGGCGCTGAGAGGCAAGGGGGCGGCAGGGGGGCGCTAGGAGGTAAGCAGCAGGGCACAATTCAGGGGTGAGAAAAAAATCCCGCTGCTGCTGCGTTCGAGGAGAAGCCCCGCAGGATCACCCCATTGACTTGCACGCTCTGGTGCAAGGAGCTCAATGGGGTGATCCTGCGGGGCCTCGCCCCGAACGCAGCGTTGGGAAAGGAGAGCAAAGCCAGAGTGGCTTTGCTCTCCTTTTCAAACATCCCGCCGCCGCCACATTTGGGGCGAGGCCCTGCAGGTCCACCCCATTGAGTCCCTTGCACTGGAGGCACCTGCCCAAGCAAGTCCAAACGGAGCGGTGTACAAAGTCAATGGGGTGAGCCTGAGAGAGGGATAGAGAGAGGAAGAGAGAGAGAGAAAGAGAAGGAAGAAGAGAAAGAGAAAAGGGAAAGAAAGAAAAAGGGACAAAGAAAAAGGGGGGATGGAAGGAAGGGACAGAAAGAAAAAGAAATAAAGAAAAAGGGACAAAAAAGAAAGGGGGGATGGAAGGAAGGGACAGAAAGAAAAAAAATAAAGTAGGAGGGAGGGAGGGAGGAGAAAGATAATGAGATATCTATTCTAGTCCAATCACCTGCTCCAGCAGGGTTAGAAGGGTGTGTGTGTGTGTGTGTTCTCCTTGTAATTTACCAATACATTTTGGTTTTGCCTTCTTCAGAATTGGCACTGTAATACATTGGGGAAAAGTAATTTTTTAGGGTGGAGGTCTAGTCCAATGGATCCTGTTTAAAGCCACAACAAAATGTGAAAGCTTCCTGATAGTCTTGGCCATGTTTCGTCCACAAAACCTTTAATTAATAGAAGCCAAAGATGTTTCAATGTAGAAAAGGGCCTCTAAGCTAGGCCTCATTTCAATCTGATGCATCAGGTCTCTCTCCCCCCCTCCCCCTCCACCCCCCCTTTCTTTGTCCCTTTTTCTTTCTTTCCCTTTTTCCTTCCTTCCTTCCTTCCTTCCTTCCTTCCTTCCTTCCTTCCTTCCTT